ATTGGCAGCAATCAATAATGTTGCGTTAGGGTGGCAACCACCCAAAGCGTACCATGTTTTTTGCGTGAGACATCTAGCAAGCAATTTCAATCATAAGTTCAAAAACATCATGTTGAAGAAGCAGTTAAAGAAGTTAGGTATGGATGTCACTAGAATTTTATTAATTTGTTACAATGATCGTATGACGCTGATGTTATTAGTTATTAACAATTATGTGTTGTCATGTACAGGCTACACTACATCGCGATTGGATTTTGACGCTGGTTTGGAAAAATTTAAAGAATCAAGCCCACAGATAGCAGCATGGATTGATCGAATTCCGAAGGAAAAATGGAGTATATCATACGATGCTGAAGGAAGGCGATTTGGCCATATGACTACAAACTTGTCGGAGTGTGTTAACAAGGTTCTTAAAGGTGCTAGAAACTTACCAATCACGTCTTTGGTGCGCATACATATGAATGCCTCCGGTGTGGATGGAGTCCAAAACAGATCATTTACATACATATGAATGCTCTGATAAAATAAAAAGTCCTATGATAAAACAACAAATCACTGCTGTCGCGGCCGCCCATGATACTTGGCACAACGTGCCTGGTTATGCTCATATGGTGACAAGAAACAGCGCTCCCTGGCCTGTCTATCTGGATTACGCCTGACCACGTCTTCACCGTCTCCTCCGGGTGCAACGTCTGCTTCTGCTCCTGCGTCTGCATCAATATCATCCACAGTACCCGCAATGTCCTCCTGCGCAAGCAAACCTATAAGACCAGATGAGGGTGACTGAAAGAAGTCAGCCGAAAATGCCTCTGGTGTGGCCATGACGGCAGGGGAATCGAATGTGGGTATGTAATCCTCTGTGAACTCTTCCAGACCGGGCTGAGGCTGCGAACTGGACTATCCTGGAAACTGGCTGTGCTCGTGCGCAGAAGGCTCAACATGAGAATAAGATAGACCACTGGTTTGACCTGGGAACTGCTGACCTGGGAATGGCTGAGTGAAGTGTGGCTGATATCCAGGGTACGACTGCGTCGGTGCTGAAAACCATGGGTACCCGAAGTGAGTCGATGACCCGCTAGGCTGAGACGGACCTCCTGAGGGAGGCCACCAGTAAGGCTGCGACAGCCCACCTGGGGGGTAAGCTGGGGCATAAAAATGACCGGCTGGACAGGGCAGAAGAGACTGCACAAGCACAGGCCTATCAGCCATAGCGGGAGCCTGATGATGCAGTGGCAGTCCCTCGTGGCGTGCACGCTGGCTAACACGCGGATGACGAGGCGGTTCCACTGTCTGCATCACTGCCGGCGGAGGTGCAGCCTCTCCAGGCTCTGTCAGTCTGCCAAACTCATCGAATGCGGACATCATCTGAAGGGTCTCATCGTATATCTGGCGATATGTGAATGCTCCTTGGGCCTCGTCTGATGCCATATGCAGAACAGTCTCCATGCGATCACTCTGTGAAGCGAATATAATGTTAAATGTATGATGTCATTACAAAAAAAAATACAAAATGTAACAATATTAATGACAAGGGCTAAAATTAACGTACCACATGAGAACGAATGGTCGATCTCTGCATCATCCATCTACGCTATGCTGAAAATACCACTGCATGTACGTGCTGTTGAGAGACAGATGACCTCCTCCCTGCAAGGGCTGTAGACCCTGCACAATGAGAGCATCCCTGGAATGCCACTGCGCTATATAAAGTCCATGACGGTCCCTCTAGTCAACATCACCCTTACCAGTCAGGGTGATGGTCAGCAGCTCTGAACTCATGAAAGGATCGCTCGGTATCGGCTGCCTAAAATGAAATTGCCTCAGCACTCTATCCGGCTGCTGGTAGACAACAATCTGGTAGTGTATGAGTGGGCATACAGCTAACCATCTGCGTGACTCCTCGGAAGAGGGGGGATGCCCAACGAATCCGTCGTATGGCCTCCACTGTATCCTGCGGGTAGGCATAACGTCAATGTGATGACGATATCGTCTGATGTGGGAGTAACGACGTCGTATGGACACATATTCATTAAACCTGCAAAACAATAACACAATAAAAATTACCAATTAACGTAACAGACAGTGAAAATGAAGACAAACAAAAAAACCAGACATACCTTGCTCCAAAAATAGCATCTGGATCGGTGATCGCTGGGATTCCTGGGGAGATAGTAGGGAAACGTGTCCATGCCCACAATTGTAGTAACAGAGTACAGTCACCCATATCCGATCGTCCTGGGTCGGTAACCTTGCACAACTCCCTGTACAAAGTAGCCAGGACAGCGGAACCCCAAGAATACGTCCTAGTCCTCTGAAAATCATCCAAAAATAGGAGATACCGCGCATGGACGAAGCTAGATGCAGTCTCAACGAAGAGGCAACCACCTATAATGCGCAAAATCAATGCACGTGTGTATCGCTTACGGTCAACTTCATTGCCAGACCATTCATGCCAATTTAGATACCGTTCCCTCAGAAATATAAGTGAAATTTGGTTTTTATATAAGTCGCGCGACCGACCCGGCCGAACACCCAAAAAATCTCCCACCATCTGGGAGAAGGGATGACCTCCAATGCGGCCAGATACAACCTCTCCATCTGTAGGCAGTCCAAGCATATGGTGGACATCCTCCAGAGTAATCGTCACCTCACCCATGGACATATGGAATGTGCGCGTCTCAGGACGCCATCTCTCCACAAGGGCCGAAATGAGATGGTGGTCAATCTGACAATAAAAAATTATTTTACATTTTATCACAATTGATTAACTATACAACATGTAATTTTTTTATTTATCTACTCTATGTATCACCAACCTCATGGTTGCGCAGACGCGCAATGTGATAAAACCCTGCCTGCTGCAGGTAAGGATGGATCTCCTCGGGTATATTTAGATGATCCCATGAAGCAGCGTGTCTGACGTTCAGTACACGATCATCTGAATTTGCGTCACCAGATCTGTTCTATACGTACGTCGAAATGTGTTTCTCCTGCAACGTCAGGAGAGACGGCACCAATGGACCAGGGTCAATGAAGGTCTGGTGCGGGTCCTGTTGCGGGTTCTGTTGCTCCATGAATCTATTTACAAATAATAAATACAAAATTGATTAATAAATATATTAATTTTAAAGTTCAATTAATTATTCTATACTCCATAATTAATTACTAATAAATAAATACTAAAAATAAATACTAATTACTAAAAAATAATTAAATAAACACAAACTTTGTGGTAAAAGAACTTTGTCACATTTATTTGTCAACCCTAAAACTAAATAATTTTATTTAATTCGGTTATTTCAATTATTGCATAATCTAAATTTTAGAAAATACAAAATCTAACAAAATTAAAATAATTCTTTTCTAACCTAGATGCCAATACTATAAATAATATCAAACAATTAATATTATTAAAATATGCATTAATAAAAAGTACTACACCTAATAACATTAACATACATATTATATAAGTCAATGTTCAAAGTTAACAACTTATTAACTACATAAATAGACACATTAACATATAAAAATATAACCTGACTAAATCCTATTAATAAATAATGCATATAAAATAATTTATTAAATAGATTAATTAAACTATAAAATATTTAACTACTTAAATTAACATGCAATTACTAAACTATGAATATTAGAATAATTCAAATAATAAAATAAATAATATGTCATCTAACCTAATGTGTCATAACATTAATCATAAAAATTATCTTACCCTAAAACCTATAAATAAATAACGCATATAAAACAATTTATTACATACATTAATTAAACAATATGTTATTTAACTACTAACATTAAAATGTAATTACTAAACTACTAATATTAAACTAATTAAAATAATAAAACAATTAAATTAAATAGATTAATTAAACTATAAAATATTTAACTACTTAAATTAACATGCAATTACTAAACTATTAATATTAGAATAATTCAAATAATAAAATAAATAATATGTCATCTAACCTAATGTGTCATAACATTAATCATCAAAATTATCTTCTTCTAAAACCTATAAATGAATAACGCATATAAAACAATTTATTACATACATTAATTAAACAATATGTTATTTAACTACTAACATTAAAATGTAATTACTAAACCACTAATATTAAACTAATTAAAATAATAAAACAATTAAATTAAATAGATTAATTAAACTATAAAATATTTAACTACTTAAATTAACATGCAATTAGTAAACTATTAATATTAGAATAATTATAATAATATAATAAATAATATGTCATCTAACCTAATGTGTCATAACATTAATCATAAAAATTATCTTCTTCTAAAACCTATAAATGAATAACGCATATAAAACAATTTATTACATACATTAATTAAACAATATGTTATTTAACTACTAACATTAAAATGTAATTACTAAACTACTAATATTAAACTAATTAAAATAATAAAACAATTAAAATGTCATCTAACCTAATATTTTATGTTACATATAATATATTAAACAACAACTAATTAACAATAAACAAAAAATAAAAATTAATCAAATTATACATCACTAACCTCAAATGAAGACTTAAGACCAAATGTGAGAGCAAGGAAATTAAGAGAGAGAGAGAGAGAGAATTAAGAGAGAGAGAGAGAATTAAGAGAGAAAGAAAATGGGGAGATGCGTATGAAAGGGAAGGGGGGGGTTTATATAGGGTGAAAAAGTAGTCGTTGGGCACAGGTCGCCTGCGTGGGCAGCGACCTCGCTCATGCACGCCACGCGGCCTGGCTGGTCAGGCATTAATTGCAACAGAGGTCGCCTGCGTCAGTCGCGACCTCTCTTGCATGCACGCCACGTGGCCTGGCTGGTCAGGCATTAATTGCAACAGAGGTCGCCTGCGTCAGTCGCGAACTCTGACACCACCAGGAAGCTGACAGCTCAGCATTACGAGGTCGCTACTACTCCCAGCGAACTAGCCCGCGTGGCAGTTTGGGAAAAAAGTTCAGGTGCGTGGCATTTAGGTAAATAACAGTGGGAACAGTGGCACAATGGTCACTGTTCCATCTTTCTCCCTTGCTTCCTCGGCCTCCTTCATTCTTGCTTCAATATCTTTGCACCTGTTTATTAATGATGAAAAGTTCCTAATTTGATGTCCTACTATCATACTTTTTAGTTCAGGTTTTAATCCAGATTCAAATTTAGTTGTCAGCCATTCCTCATTAGGTTGATTCTGTATGTAATTAGAATATCTGGATAATTCCTCAAATTTTGTTACATATTCTCCAACAGTCATGTTTCCTTGTTTCAGTTCAAGGAATTCTATTTCTTTTATGTTTCTTACACTTTGAGGAAAGTATTTTTTCAAAAAAGCATCTTTAAAGATTGTCCAAGTAATCTCTGTTCCTTGGCTTTGGAAATATCTTTTGGTATTTGTCCACCAATGCTCTGCTTCTCCAATCAACAAGTATGTGGCAAAGTTTACACGATGAGTATTAGGACAGTCCATTACTAGGAATATTTTCTCAAGTTCTTTTATCCATTCCATAAATGCCTCAGAATCATAATCTCCACGAAAAGTGGAAGGCTTATGCGTATGAAATTCAATAAGTCCTTTATAATCAGCATTAGGTCCTCCCTGAGTATTTGCAGTTCTAGGTCCACTTTCACTTTCAGAATTATGGGTGTGATTTTTGGTTGCACGGTCCTCCCTCAACTCCTGAATAATTTGCTGATTAGTTACAGATTATTCTCTAAGAGCTTCGGCCACCCGAGTAAATGCATCAGATACTGGGTTAACTTCTGGTTCAGTAGTTGAAGATGTTTGTATTGTATTTGCCATAGATCTACCTATGTTATTTTATGTTAGTGAGTTGACTAAGCTCATTAAAATAACCTCAAATATGCATGAATTATGACCAAAAAAAAAACCAAGCAACTATAATAGTTTAGGTCTTTTATTTACCGAAACCGCTACTCTGATTAAATAAATATCACATTATGTTAAATAATAAATAATTAAATAAATAAAATATAGAGTAGTATAAACTTTTTAAATATTGATTTATAGATCAAACTTTACTTAGTTACTTGATACATGATTCCTGGTCAAGTACATATATTTTACATTCTAAATATTTTACATCAGAGTCTACTTCCTAAACTACGTTACATCAAAATAGTACATATATGTTACATCCTAACTACTTAAAGTTACAATTTATACACTGCTTCCATTTCATCTAGTCAGTTCTATATGTAAATGCTTCCACTCTATCTTGATAAAATAAGGCAACCACTTGTTGATTTCCTAGTATAATATAAAACTCTGATCGGTCTTCATAGAAATAGACAGAAATTCCCCAATTCTCGCCGGTGAAACACAGACTAGGCATGATGACTTTCTGGAGAGGTTAGCATAAAAACAAACACATATGAGACAAATCTCAGTAATATTGAGGTTTCTTTATCAATAACCACTCCAGCCGCAATAACGAAAAATACCATTCTCTCAAATATTTTTATAAAAATGAAGTAATATAAAATAATTTACAAATAATAGATCGTGTAATATTTAACTGAAGCTAATGAAATCCCAATTTTATGGGTCTATGTATGTGAAATGGTCGGATTGGTGGAGCTCAAGCCAGATAAGGCGTCCTTTACCCTATAACCGTCTGATCCCAAGCCTTTATGAGTCAGTTCACAACATATATCATACAGTTAAAATTACATATTCTCTTAACATCCTTTTGGTACCCAAAATTCTAATAATCAAGCAATCAATTTTAAAAGAAGTAAAATTCAGAACTAAATAAAATAAAATTAAAGGTAGGAATGTTAAAAAAAAAAATTTAAGAAAAGAATTTGGCAGAGTAACAGAATAATAATTTTCTAAAAATTCAACTTAAAAAAAATAGTGATAAGAAGAAAAATGAGAAAATATTTTTATCTCTCAATATTACCTTTCTTCGATTTCCTTTAATTTCTTTTCTCGATTTTCTCTTTCTGTTGTATCCGATTTCCCTCTTTTCTCTCTTCTTTTCTACTCTCTCCTCTTAGAGATTCTTTCTTCTTCTCTTTATTTTTGTTTTGTCTCTTTTATTTTCGACCCCTGTGCACTTCCTTTCCCTTGGATGAAGATGTATATATATAGGGGTAATTGTAATCATTACATAATTAGAATCTAGTTAGAATCTAATGAATACTTAACTAAATCGTTATTACTAAAAAAAAAAATCTACATGTTAACTTTATCTTCTTATTCTACGTGTCTCCCTTTGTCATGTCATGTGTTTATTGTTTCTACCATGTATTTGTAATATATTATATGGTATATTTATTTATTTTACTTTTTACTTTTAATAACTAACGACAAAACAATGATTTTAAGTATTACGTATTAGTTAAATTTTAGATACAGTATGTTATCATATAGGTCTGTAGATTGTACAAGTTCATAAATATTAATAAGTTAAAATAATATATATAGATAAATTAAATCAATACTATATAGTTACACATAATATGTTATAAAATTAACTATATTTGTTATTCATATTTTATAGTCGATTATTTAATATTTCATTAATAATGAACATATAAATAAATAATATATTATAGTGTATGAATTTATTTATTTTTATAGACAAATAATGTTAACTATAAATATATTTATTTATTTATTTATTATTATTATTATTATTATTTATTTAAATATTATAGCTGTCCTTCTGTCATAGTTGATGTCCTTCAAGCTATTTCTTGATAAACAAGTCTATGTACTAGTTTGTCTCCTTAGAGTAGTAGCAAGTTGGAGCTGTCCCATTTATACTGGCTCATATGCGTGGTGGACCTTATCAAATCTCTATGGCCTTTTTTAGTGCTTAAGTTTTACCCTGCGGCTTAGCGCGATGGTCTTACGCAATGAGGTTGGTATGCACCGCAAGGATGGTCTGTGCAATGAAAACATTGTGCCCATTGCCTCTGGATCCCTCGTGGGCCTCTAACTATTGGGTCTATGTTTTATCCGAATCAGAAACTAATGACGAATATTATTTTGAAAAATATTTGTAAGTATGAGGACTATTTGAAAAAGAAATTAAACTATGAAGATTATATTGAAAATGGGTGAAAATTATATGGATCAAAATTTCATTTAAACTATGTTCAATATTTAAAAAAAAAAAAAAAAAAAAAACAAAAACTAGAAGGGTTCCTTGAGTGTAAAGATTTTACTTAGAATAAAAAATTTAGAGTGATGGAAATTTCTTCTTATTTGAAAATTTTTATAAAATTTAATGAAGATTTACAGGATAATCATTAATTAAATCACCAACTAATACAGACCAATCCAAACCCATGTTATACAGTTGTAACGAGAATAAGGTGGACAAGGTAAGCCAACCTCCTCCATTTACTCCTCAAAGGTAAAGGACATATACAGGTTAAGCCTAACTTTTAGTACAGTATTAAAATTAAATTTAAGAAATTTTGCTTATGTGATATGTAAATGATGTCTCTATCATTAATTCGGAAAACTAATGTGAAAGCGCAACAATCAAGCAATGTCGACTAATCATATTATTGTTGTAGAACTAGCTAGCTAGTTGACAAGAGTATACTGATGCTACACTCTTGCGTTGTCGATTTCAACATTTCCGAGTAACAATTGCTTCGTGATTGGATGAAGTAAAATTGTAAATGCATGCCTGGCTCCAATTTTTTCTTACTCAGCAAAGAAAGCGAATTTGATCTGTAAAACGTATTATTTTCAAATAAATAATCCATCCTCTCCACGTTTATGATTAGTTGATGTTACTTGTGATCTACAATTATCATGACTTTTAGACCCAATTATTTGGAAATTTGATTACTCGGTGCCAAAAACTTCTACCTAGAGAAATTGAGAGAATAAGGCCAAATTAGACTTTAACTTAAATAGGTTTAACTTACTATTTGACATGAGTTTTTTTTTTTTTTTTTAAGTATTGTATGGTATGAGAGTATGACCTTTTTAAAAGCCTGGTCTAGTCTAAAAATTTATATGAATGCCCATTTCACATTTAGCCTTTTAAATAGGCTAACAAAACAACTTTCAAATAGGTTAAACTAAAAAAAAAAAAAGGATAAATGGATTAAGTCTTTTACATAGGTTTATAAATTTATTTCTAAATATGCTAATAAATCAACAAGTTAGGCGCGCATATATATATATATATATATATATATATATATATATATATATATATATATATATATATATATATATAAAAGGAGAAATCGGTGTAAAATAACAACACTCGTATATTATTAATAAAGATTCCTATCGTGTAAATCATGTCCATAAAATTTCACATCAATCGAAAATTATTTTTCGCTTTATTTATATACATTGAAATTTAAAACATGAAAAATGATTATTTGATTAGATTTTTATTGATGTTAAATTTTTTCAAAATTTAAGACAAATAATTAACATGAAGAATAGTAATAATCCAATAATTAGATAGATAAAAGTTATATTTTTTTCAAAAAAACTTTAACTTAATTTTTTTATTAAATAAACTAAGTCTAAGTCAAGTCTTATACACTATCTGAAAATTATGTTTCAGCCTATTTGTGTTGCAAAATAGTCAATTTTCACTTATACTCTGTAAAGCCGCGCCACTCATTTTCTTCTTCTCCGAAATTCAATGAGGCTGAAACAAGTTTCCACACAAAGAATACATACACACACGCACACAAAAAAAAAAAAAAAAAACAGATAAATATACTATAACTTCAGCAAGGTGGTAGCAACCTCTAAGATGGTCAAAAACCAACCATTGGTAAAGAACGAGGCTTGTAAGAAAAACCTGGATGGTTCTTCCACTTGGGGTTATAAGTGTCACCGTGAGTATTGTTTTGATTCCTCTAGGGGTTGAACTCTCTTATCATACCAAATTCTATTCACTTGAGTTAATTTCCAAATTCTATTCACTTGAGTTAATTTTGTTCCTCCTAAGGCATCGCAGTCGCTAATAGCATGATCACTTCCACAATATTCACAAGCTACTAATTGAGCTTGAATTGCTGAAATTTGAGACTTTTGAAACATGCTAGTGAAGTTGGCAATTTGTTGAGAAAGGAGTTTCTGTTGTGCTAACATTGCATCATTGCTTTCTAACTGAAGAACTCGTTTCTTGGGTTACACTGGAATGCTCTCATTGTCTAATGAGGCCATGGACTCAAATAGCTCCAATGCTTGAGTCAGTGTTTTCTTCCTCAATGATCCTCCTGCGGCAGCATTGATCATTATCCTTGAAGATGGTGTTATTCCATTGAAAAACAAGCAAACCTTCTGTCGGGGTTGTCGTTCATATTGAGGACACCTCCTCAACAAATTCTTGAATCTCCTCCATGTGGCGCACAAAAACTCTTCTTCTTGCCGAGTGAAATTGATGATATTATTCACCATTTGATTATACTTGGTCGTCATTGGGAAGAATTGAGCTAAGAACTTTAATGCCAAGTCATCCCAAGAACTGATGTTATTTGTTGGCTGATGACTTAACCAACTCATAGCCTTCTCTTTAAGTGAGAATTGGAATAGCCGTAGGCAAATTGCATCGTCGGACACCCCAGATCTTGGCAGTGTCACATATTAGCAAAAATTTATCCAGGTGGAAGTGAGGATCTTCCACATCATCTCCTCCAAACTGGTTCCGTTGGACCAATATGAGCAGTGCTGGTTTGATTTCAAAGTTGTTATTGGGACTGTTGGTCTCACTATACTTGATGTTGGCCTAGTGAAATTTGGAGTGAGGAACGCATCCATCAACTCTTCACGAGGAGGTGGTGGTGGATTATTTTCTGCCGTATCTGGTTCTATTGTTGATTGTGAACTAAAGGCTTCTTGTTGCCTCTTGAGCTTAGTAAGTTTCCTATTCTTCTTAACAGTCTTTTCAATCTCTGGATCGAACTGTAGAGAATCCTGGTGAACTGTACCTCGCATAAAACAAGAACAACAATTTAGTAAAAATAATTAAAAATGTAAAACAAAAATAAAAGTCTAATCTTAAGGAGCTAAAACTAAGAATAATGTTGACGTGACCTAATACCTGGCAACGGCGCCAAAAATTTGATGCTCTCTAGGCAAGTATACCGATCGCAAAAGTAATAAAGAAGTGAGTAGAGATATCGTTCCCATGAGGATTAAGTATATCTATCACTATTCTCACTATTCCCGTTAATTTGGATAATTCAAAAGGTTTTATAAAGTGATTTTCAATTATGAAAATAAAATGAAAGACAATTGCAAATAAGAATAACTGAAGGACGAGGATTCGAAGAATTTTAAAACTGGATTTTTGAAGTCAATAACGAATAGGGTTTTATTTCACCTCCAATCTTCCTTAAGTGAATTAATTCAATTCATAATTATTTTATCTCAACTGTTTCAAACAATTCATGATCTAAAATGTAATTGGTTAAATCCTAATTTCTTAGTTCTTTAATCCTTTAGCCCAATTGGAATCCTAATGTCTTATAAACCCCTTTCAGATTAAGCTTTAAATGCGATGAATTATGAAGTTCGCAATTCCTACAAGTCTATGTCTAGATCATGCAAGAATTGGTGTTTTACCCCTATCGAGATTAAGATCCCAATATATCTATTGTGAACCATAGCCCTCTTTATTCCTATACGAGTGATCAATTCATAAAAAAATTTAATATGAAATTCGAGGTAAACAAAAACAATTAGAGATAATTTATTAATGAACGAATTAACCCAAAATAAGGATTTACGTCGTATCCATAACCCTAGCTACAAAAGAAAACTAGCCAGACATAGCTGGCTTGAATAAATTAAAGAAAGAAAAGAAAATAGATAAAGTCATTAAGATGATCTCCAATGTTGCTTCAATCTCCTTCAGTCTTCTTTCTTTCTCTGAACTCTGAATTTCCAACAAGTTCTCTTCTCGTCTTCGTGCAAAAATCTCTTGTCCAATTCGTCCAAGCTCCTTTTCTATTGCTTTGATTCCTTTTTTATATCCTTTGGAAAATCAGCACCAAATCCCTTTGAGAATCTTCAAATACAATTGAAATTAGACTTTAAAAAAAGGTCACATGCTTCTTGCACTAGTGGCGCGGTTTTGGCGCTGCTAGCGCCAGGAAACAAAAGCTTACCTATACTTTGGTGTTGGTAGCACCATTACCACTCTAACGGCATTGAATACTCACAGTTGTGGTGTTGTTAGCACCACTCCCGCGCTAGCAGCTAGGGGCAACAAGGGCCTTTTGATGTAATTGGTGCTGGTAGGGACATGATATGCCTTCAGTATATAGATATTTCAGAGTAAACAGAACAAGGATTTGACAGTAATTCAGTAATAAAAGTGATTAATTTAAAGGAATTATTGATAATCCTTCTTCAGGCATGTTCTCACTTTGATTCTTATGTTTTGTAGGAGGAAAGCATGAAAAAGCCATTGTTGCAAACACTCACCTCACGCGAACAGCGTGAGAATGGCGCTGATCGCGCCAATAACCCACTGCCTTTTCACGCAACTGGCATGGATGCCACGCTGATCGCGCCAAACACAGAGATCCTTCCCTAAATGCCAGCGCGGATCGCGTGAAACTGGCGTTGATCGCGTGGGCGTTGTGGGTGCAATTCCTGATTTTTTGAATTTTGCTAAAAATGGAAATTAATTCAAATAATTCAGAAGATTATGACCTGATTGGGCAGTTGGATATAAAGAGGAAGCAGAAACCCTAAAAGAGGGATCTTTTGCGAGGAAGGAAATTACAAAAATACAATTTGAGAGAAAGCTCTGGATTGAAAGGCTGAAGATCAATACTCAGAGAAGTTGAAGATTCAAGATTTCATTTTCTTCATCTTCTTCTGTCTCCGTTTTTATTCTTTCATGAATTCTTTTTCATTCATTAATTTGTCAGACATGAATATGTCTGGCTATTCTTTTATTATTGTGGTAAGGGTCACAACCCTTAATGTGAACTCCTTGTAGTTTGGTTAAATTTATATTTATTTATTCCAATTGAATTTATTTTGCTTGTTCTTCATATTATAATTCTTCTAGAACCGATCAATCTATTAGGATTGCGAGGGTTAGGATTTTCAATAGGGATATTAGGATTTTAATTCCTGACAAAAGGCAAGATAACTGTTCATGTATACAGTAGAGATAGGCTATATGAACTGCAAACGTGAAAGATTCACTGATTCTAAAGTTTAACTTGAAAAAGAATTTCTAAGAGATTAGGATTCTAATAGAGTTAATAGGCCACTCTGGCGCTACTAACGCAGTGAAATAAAAGGTAAATTGCATGTTGGTGCTAAGCTCTCCTTCTTTTGCTCTTATAATTTAATCTTTTTTGGGTGTAAATTTTCCTACAAAACACGAGAGTTTTAACGAGAGAACAATCTTTATCACAGTTATGTCTTTTGAATCAATTTAGATTAAATCCATGCTTGTTTTGACTTTTAAAATATGTTGGAAGCATATCACTTATCCGCTAGACTTTCTAATTGTATTTATCGTCGAAATTCAATTATGATCGTTTGTGTAAAATGATGTGAAAGCTACCAATGCAGTTCATATTCTATGTTTGCCATTAATCAGCATATATAATTGGGTAAGTTCGGTCGAATTAGTTTCGATTGATCATTTAGTTCACATCTGATTGAAATATACATTATTAGGAGTTTTTGAATTAACTAGGTGACTATAAATGACTTATGAATTGCCAATACTTTAAATTAAGAAAAATCTTCAACAAAAACACATATTATTAAAGGCCTGTGTGGAAAGCAACGTGTAATATTAAAAATCTTAATTAAACACCGTAAAGTATACTTGTCAAAATTTATGGTATTTCTTTCTTACATTCAATTTATAACTGAACTGTTGTGTTTACTATGTTTAAACTTGAAAAATCATAACGGTACGTAAAAGGTCAAATTGAAGTTATATATGATTGGAATAATTTTTCACGCATAATGTTTAACAATTAAACACTTATTCTCATCCTCTAAAGATATAAAGTTTTATACTTTTATTATTAATTTAGTCTCTTATAATTAATATATAATGCCAAATGATTTCACTTTGATCTTTAAATTTTTTTTAATATTAATTTAGTCTCTCAATAATATAAAATGTCATCAATTTAATTAGTTTCTTAATTATGAAAAATATTGGTAAGTTAGTTCATAAATTAAAATTGTATTACTATATCATTTCTTTTGTTTTGACAAAAAAAAAAAGTTGACTAATATAATAACACTTTATTATATGATTACGAGACCTTTAACAAATTTTATTTTTAAAAAATAAAGTAATAAAATTTTTATATTGAGGAAAATAAATCTAAAATTACGGATTCACCCTAAAGAATGCTTCTATGGAGGAAGGAAGAAACGCCTCAAGCATGAAATTAAATGAAAAACACAATGCGATTAAAAGTCACACACTATTTAAGTCACGTGTAGAAGAAAAAATTGAAGTCAAAACATTAATTGCAAGGCAATTCACAGTTTTCTCCGCGTTTGAAAATAGATGACTATGAACATGTTTTGAAGTTTGGCTGCCTTTGAAGTTCAATATTACACAGTATGAATCTTCCACAACAGCTCAGGCCAGTTACTTGCATGAACCTTGACATGAACACGTAGTATCGGTGCCCAGAATCGTTCACTGTAGCACGGTCTATGGTAGCGTCAGTTGTGGACTAACGTGGCCATATTCTCTTCCGTTTAGCACAATTAATCGCCGGCAAACTGGTCCTTTGATCATGGAGAAAATATTATTGAATAATAATAAAAAAATATGTTACAAAGCCTGTGTCAAAAATAATAATATTAACATCTTTTAATTTATGAGAAATAATAGTCGTAGTTCAGTTGATGTATGTGAGGATATTATTTCGATTTCTTCCAATACCGTTTGGATGGTTTTTTTTTAGGCAAAAAAAGTACTTTTACTTTAAATTCGTTTAGATATTTGCTTTTAAAAAAACAGAAGTCACAAAAAAAGTCAAAAATTTACTTTTTTAAGAAGCTAAAAATTTTAGCTTCTAAAAAAAGCAGAAGTCAAAAGTCAAATATTTTTTCGAAAAATTAAATATTTTTATAAAAATATAAATAGCTTTAACTTTTGTAAAAAACACTTCTAAAATAAGGAAGAGATAAAAGTTATTTTTTTTTTATAAGCCTAAACAAACTGGCTCAAAATCTCAGTCTTAAGATTAATCTCATAGCCAACTTAAAAAGTCGAAACTTATAAAGATATTCGGGAGAACCTATTGGCCTTAACAAATTATAATTATTTAAAATAAGAGAAAACGTCCAATTAAAGAAATTCACAAAATTTATGTGCTGACGTGGATCACTGTGTGTTATGCAATGCAAGCATTTGAGAGTTCAAACTTCAAAGTCGAGATGACATGCAGCAAATAAACGGTGGTCCAATCCAAGTTAGTCATTTTGTTAGGCAAAGTATTCATCTAAACTACTACTTTGCCCTTGACCTTCTATTTTGGCTGAAAGTTTTTGCATGCACTTTATTTTTTTCTGCAGTCTTTGCATTGCTGACGTTATCTATGACACAAGAGGTTGAGAAAGAAACAAAAGGAAAACGCATATAAATTATGAGAAAATTATATTTACATTTTTTTTTTTACAATTTCTTACAATTATATCTTAACACCATTAATTTTCGTCAATCAACGATTATTATTTATTGTGAATTAATAATTAATTAATGAGTTTAATTTGCAAAAATCATAACCGTTGATTGGCAGAAATTAATGGTGTTAAGATATGATTGTAAGATGTTGTAAAAAAAAAGTTATAAGTATAACATTCCTTATAAATTATTGAATAATATATCAACTATTTTTAATTCGACGCTGCTGCGTGACCAGTAAGACATATATATGTTAGTTTAGTGTTGAGGTACAAATCAATTTATATTTTTCTTCTT